ATCAATCCATTCTCCACATTGCTGCCAGAATTATCTTTCTAAAAGATGTGATTATTTTATTACCCACCTTGAAAACTCTTCAATGGTTTCCTATTTTCTTCAAGAAAAAGTCCAAATTCTCTTAACATGGTCTACAAGACCTTTCATGATCTGGTCTCTGTCTATGTGTACAGGTTTTGGATAACCTCAAACTCTAAATTGTCCAGCTACACCAAACACCTCTCAGTTTTTTGGAAGCCCGTGTTTTCTCTCTCTTTGCAATGCTGTTTTCCTCACCTGAAACCCCTTTTCCTCCCCTCTTTAAAACTGGTTAACTTCCACTCTACAAATATCTGTATAATATTTGATATTGGATATTTGATATTTAAATATTGGATATTGAAATACCATGTATCTAGATAACTCTTTACATAATATTATGGATAAAACTTTACCACTCATTTTAGTGATTTTTGAAATGCTCTTCAGTAAGAACTAAAATGATCAGCTAAAAATGTTTTTTTAAAAATAACCTTAGAGGGCCGGCCCCATGGCTTAGCGGTTAAGTGCACGCGCTCCGCTGCTGGCGGCTCGGGTTTGGATCCTGGGCGCGCACCGACATACCACTTCTCCGGCCGTGCTGAGGCCGTGTCCCACATACAGCAACTAGAAGGATGTGCAGCTATGACATACAACTATCTACTGGGGCTTTGGGGGGAAAAAATAAATAAATAAAATCTTTAAAAAAAAATCTTAGAAAACAATAATTAATATTTAAAGCTTCATTTTGTATGGACAGAGAAGCTATTTTCTTATTATGTTTCCATTGTTATTTTGGGCTTTTAGAAAGTGGTAAAACTCAGTAAGTAATTGAAATATGTGTAATAATTTGGAAAATTCAATAAAATTGTTATCAGTGAGTAATGATGTAAGTTCCCTAAAATATCCTGGGATCCTTTGCTCTTCCTGGTATGATGGCGCCATGTCTTTTAATAGTTGACTTATTCAAAGAAAATACAGACATGGTGACAGTACATTTTTCATGACTTGTTCTGGATGCTACATAAATGCCTCATTAATTTAGAAAAAGCAGTGCTCGTTTTTATAAGATTCATAACCATGTTTTATATGTTCCAACTTAATGGACGTCTGCTTTCTATTTAACCCAGGAATTAGTTTCATGTAAACTGTTAGCTTTTTAGTTTTATCACCGAGTCTGCCAACCTCAGCAAACGAAGGCTGATAGCCTAGTAAATATTGCGTGGATTCAAGGGTGGATTTGAACATTGTACTAAATCCTGAACAAACAAGACACGAAGCCCAGGTGTACAAAGGAACAAACGATGTCATCAGCACAGTCTGTATCTCCTGCAGGAGGGGGGCCTTGGCAAGGCCCCAGCCAGCTGCAAAGGACACAGAGGTTCTCAGACCAAGAAGTGGGGTTGTGGTCTGGGACCACCAGAATGAGGACTGACATTTTTGAGCACCTACTTCGTGCCAGGCATTTTGCCAATGTGCTTTATGTTGGAAGTACATTGTGCCGCCACATAGTCAGCGGGAACAGAACCTCACAAATCAGCAGCAATACTCACCTAAAGAAAGGGATCATGGGTTTGTTTTTAGTTTTTGTCTCGAGTGGGAAACTTGATTTTATACTGTTATATAACAAAGAAAGCCAAGACCTATGTTTAGCGACTTTCAAAGCTGATTTTATGTTCTACATGTTTTCCGCGGTTAAAGTATTTTACCTTCTGTGATGTTTTGTTAGGATATTAAGGAAATCATATTTAAAATATGAGATCATGTTATAATATGGCGCAAGCATGAAGCCATCATTTCTCCCATTAATTTGATAATTCATTCACTCAACAAACATTTGTTGCAATAAATCTTCTGTGGAGGGACTGTTCCAGGTGTTGGAGATACAGTGGTGAGCAAAACACATAGTCTTTCCCTCAAGGAGCTTACAGTCTAGGGGAGGAGGCAGACACTAAGTGAACCATCAAATAAATATTTAGCACAGCGGGTAGGAATCTCAGTTCAGAAACTAAAGTGTCCAAGAAATATATTTTTTTATAATTCAATTTCTAACTCCAAGTCTTCATTCCACCCAGGTGGCAGAAACAAACAACACACACAAAAAGTTAATGTCAGTCTTTTTCAGGGTTGGTTTCTTCCCTTTCCCAGGACATAATTCTAGCACCTTACTCTGTGCCAAGGCCCTTCTATCATCAAAGAGTGTCTTCTTGCTGGGTCATTTATCATCCTCAGCTGCCTGGCGTTTTCAATTCTCGTGGTTCTTTACTGCTTCTACATACCCATCTACATGCATGGGGAATGGTTTTTTGGGGTTGACTGTTGTCTCTCCTAGGTCTTCTACTTGCTGACCAACGCTATTTGTTCTCTGCTCTGCTCTACGGATCCACAGGCCTCTCTCTTTTCCTCATTTCCCAACCCCTCCAGGCCCACAGAAACCTCACATGTCCCTTCATGTTTAAGATACTGGGAGGAAATTTAGCTTGGCTGGGTGGTAGGTCCCGTGGGAGCTCAGAAAGGGGTCTCTTGAGAAGATGATATGAACTGAGATCTGACGGGTGAGTCAAGAGTTAACATGTGAAGGGGAATGAGGAGTGGGGAGGAGACTGTTCTCAACAGAAGCAATCCTTATGGCAAGGTCTGATGGCAGGAAAAAAACTGAGAAAAACTAGGTTACAAGCATTATCATTTAGGGATAAAACCTTAATTATAGACAAATATATACTCTTGTTTTTGGTGTATGAGACCTCAGCAAACGTGTATAGGCATTAACCATTTACTACACAATAGTGGAAAATGTCTAAGAACTGCTCAGAGCCTTGGGCTTGAGTCCAAGTTGGCCAGTTACCAGCTGTATGGTCTTTGATAAGTTATATCACCTCTTTAAGCCTTAATTATATCTTCTGGAAAATAGAGATTATGATAATATTACAACTACTTGCCCATCTGTCTCACAGGATTGCTGTAAGGTATAATGGGATAATAAACGTGAAAATGTTTTACAAACTGTAAAGAACTTTAACGTGTACCTTATTACTAGTGTGTTGATAACTAATTTTATTCACAATACAATTCAACGTGTTCTTTGAGAGAGAGACACTTATTGAGATAAAATGGCAAATACTAAGTGTCCTACTTCTGATTTATAATTGTATGTAGCTACATAGAAGTGACCCAACTAAATATGAACACACTAGTGAACACACTAAATGTGAAACCAGTTGTACGGTAGTGAATACAATCTCCCTTCTCTACAGCAGTTGGAAGAACAGCTGACAATTGACTCTCAGGCAACGAGAGTAAACGCCTGGTAGAGAACGACTGAATGAAGTAATGAACACCTAGCACAAAGCAGGAACCTAAAGTTAGCCACCACTCCCTCCTTAGCACCCTCACCAGCCCATTGGTATTTTGTGTGTGTGTGTGTGGTTTAAGGATAAAATGCGATGGCTAACAGCTGAGCAGAATTCTCACTCATTTCTTAAAATCTTAGGGTAAACTCCACATCATATGTCATCACAGAAATGCAAATTAAAACAACAAGATACCACTACACACCTATTAGAATGGCCAAAATTTGGAACACTAATACCAAAGCGGGCAAGGGTGTGGAGCAACAGGAACTCTCATACATTGCTGGTAGGAATGAAAAATGGTACAGAAGACAGTTTGGGAGTTTCTTCTAAAACTAAACACTCTTGGGGCTGGCCCAGTGGTGCAGCAGTTAAGTGTGTATGCTCCACCTCGGCAGCCTGGGGTTCGCAAGTTCGGATCCCGGGTGCGCACCAATGCACTGCTTGTCAAGCCATGCTGTGGCAGCATCCCACATAAAGTAGAGGAAGATGGGCATGGATATTAACCCAGGGCCAGTCTTCCTCAGCAAAAAAGAGGAATATTGGCATCAGATGTTAGCTCAGGGCTGATCTTCCTCACAAAAAAAAAACTAAACATACTCTTACTGTATGATCCAGCAATCACACTTCTTGGTATTTACCTAAAGGAATTGGAAACTCATTCCACACAAAAACCTGCACATGGATGTTTATAGCAACTTTATTCACAATTGCCAAGATCTGGAAGTGACCAAGATATGCTTCAGTAGGTGAATGATAAATAAACTGTGGTACATCCAGACAATGGAATATTATTCAGCACTAAAAAGGAATGAGCTATAAAGCCATGAACAGACATGAAAGAACCTTGAATTCATATTACTAAATGAAAGAAGCCAATCTGAAAAGACTACATACAGTCTGATTCCAATTATATGACGTTTTGGAAAAGGCAAATCCATCAAGAGAGTAAAAGATCAATGGTTGCTGGATGGGGCAGGGTTCAGATGAAGAGCAGAACACACATGATTTTTAGGGCAGGGAAAATACTCTACATAACACTATAATGATGGATATATGTTATTATACATTTGTCCAAACCCACAGAATGTACAACACCAAGAGTGAACCCTAATGTAATCTACGGACTTTGAGTGACTATGACATGTCAGTGTAGGTTCACGAACCATAACAAGTGATGCTGTGATGCTGATAACTGGGGAGGCTACGCATTTATAGGGGCAGGGAGTATATGGGAAATCTCTGTATCTCCCTTTCAATTTCATAAACCTAAAACTGCTCTAAAAAAAAAGTCTTAAAAAATTTTTTTTAATTTTACGGTAAATAGAGATTACTAGTGAGAATCCAAAGGCAGCCTAAACAGCCAGCAAAATAACTCGTTCTGTAACTCCCAGGTGAAAGATCTTAAAGTAAAAGTTTGATGATAATCTAAAGTCTGGGAGAGTCTACAAGATGAGGTGTGAGAGGTGTAGAATGGAACAGACTCAGTGCTTCAGGATCAGCTGCCCAGGACCCGAGAAGAATGAAATAGCTTTATTCCTCACTTAGGCTTGATAGACAATGAGAGTCGAATACGTGAAAATTTTTTAAAGATTAAAAATACATTAAAAAAAAGAAACACATTTTTTCAACTAAATCAAGTTTTTATTTTGTTACACAAAGTATTATAGAAAGTCCAAACTTTCAGAAAGACAAAGAATCACAATGACTTATACCAGTAGAAAATTTATAATCCTTATAACCTGACCTAAACTCTCAGTCGACCTAAAAATTGCCTTGCTTTTGTTTAAAGTATGGCTCCAAAGAAATGGAGATTGTGAAGAAATGGATACTTGTAAAAGGAAGCTCCCCCTGTTACACTGTTTCTATTCTCAGTTTTTACTATATGTATATTTTTCTCAGAGAGTTTAGTGGGTTTCAAATGCCTTATCCTCTCCTCTCCACTTAGAACGCTTCATAGAACAGGCCATACTGGCCTATGGCCTCAGTTCACAAAATCCAGGACTTGTTAAAACAAACAGCAGGGAACAGACTGTGTTTGGAGGAGTTCCCACTCCTCCTATTTCCACAAGCTGGCTCTAGAACCTTCTTAAAATAACATCCCGACGCAAACTGTAGATCAGGGACTTTCTGTTTTCTCTTTGGGCCCACTTAAGTCTGGGCTTAAAACCCAGAGCAGATTCTGGGCAGCAGACAAGGTGCCCGGCTGTGCCCCTACTAACTCTTCTCACTGAATTGGGAGTGTGAGCCCTGCTGGCCAAATGGTGCCAGTCTGACATGTGCTGTCGTGTCATTTGCTTATCAAATAGTCTAACCAAGTTCTACAGCTTCAGCTCAGATCTAAGAGGATAAAATTCTGATTCAAAGTTGGGTATGAGAATCCAATAGTCTTGTAATACTAACACCCGCATGATTTATAAACCCTGGAAAGCAGAGCTTGGAAAGCAGAAGATTTAAAAGTCTATGGAACTTTGTTTTAATAAGGCTTTTGGTTTAAGTAAATCTAATAATTTCCAAGCTTTGCTTCTAAAGGAATAATAATTTTCTAACTTATTTGGACATTTTATAAGTACATATATGTGTACTTATATGTACTTGGAACATGACTTTTAAGAAATAGAGTAGGAATATCTTTCAAAAAATTAAGAAAATCCCAACAAAACTCTTACAATTAGTTTAGATCACAAACTAATCACATATCTATGAAATAAAAGTTTATTAAATTTAAATGGATGTTATACATCAAAATTGTTTTCTAAAACCGAAATCCCAGTTTACTGCAAATCAGACTATTGAATATTAAACACTGTTCCTTTTTCTTTAAACAACAACAAAAAACGATATTAGTAATGATGAGTTATCCTGGTTGGTTTGACTTGGGTCCAAGCAAAGTATCTATTACGTCTCCCTGAAAAGAAAAAAAATCACACAATTACAATGCAATAAAATACAAATTAAGAGGTAAAGTAGTCTTTAAAACTCCATTTAAAAGTTATAAGTTAGTGATACACATATAAAAGGCATCCAATAAGATTGTAAAAAGGAAACAAACCAAGGTAAGTTTAAATAGTAACAGTTACTTCCTAGTATAAACCTGCTCTTTGCTATGAAAGAGTCTTTTAGGGAAGTTTGATAAACAATTTTATAAGGATTCAGTAAATGGACAATTTTGACAGCTCCTGTTTAGCCTTAATGCTTAAACCTCAGTTTTCTCATCTGTAAAATAACTTAATCTTAATGATATCTTAAGTTCTTTCCTGATCTGTAATATCTGATTTAGACAGAGTAGAATGTCTGAATTTCTACGTGAATTTTGTATTTCATTATTAAATGAAATGCAAAATGAAAGGGGTAAAATGATCATATGTAAGAAGATGAAACCAAAGATGTGAGGTGAGAAAGATGCAGTGAAAAGATGGCAATTGGAAGCAGAAGACTGGAGTTTTCTTTGTCACACAGGAAAGATAATCTTGAGAAAATCACAGAGATCTGGGAATCTGCATGTATAATGGAAACAGTAACATCCACTTCTAAAGACTGTTATAAGAGATGAATGAGCTAGTGTATGTGACAGTGTTTTATCAACTCTAATGAGTGACAACCACCTTAGATAATATTGGGGAAGTCAGTTTGTTTTCGCCTCTGTGATACTCTCTCTGGCACTTCCCCATCCTTCAAGCCCTGACGCACCAAATCATGTTGCCACATTGCTTCTCAAACCTATCTCTCTCTAGTTTGGTCTCTCACTTGGGCAAATGTAATAGGTCACTACTGTATGTGTTCACTGTTGTATTCTGAGTGCCTAAAACAGACCGTCACATAGCGCACACTAGTAAATATTTGTTGAATGAATGGTCTATTTTTTCTGCCTTCAGTGTCTCTTAGCATTAATTTATTATATATATTACAGATTTATGTTTCTAAAACCCCATTTTGAAGATTTCACTTATCTTTTTATTTTTCCTTTAATTCGGAAAAAAAATGTAAACACCCAAAGTATAGAGAAAAAGATGACAAACATTTGTATGCTGAAACATAAGAGTAGAAATAGCATCCAGGGGTGATTCTCTACAGGCTGCCTCCAGAAGGGGAGTTGCTTCGTGCAATGCCCCATCGAAATTGGCTTCTGCCTAGTGCTTAAACCAGAATTATGCTCAATGCAAGACTTAGGCCCCACCAACCAGCCCCCATCGTGCCAGGAGAGGAGTTGGTGCTTCAGCAAACAATAAATGCTAACGTGGCGGTAAATCCTGTCAACAGCTAGCTACACCACCAAGTTATAAGCGCAAGGCTTGGGCCCCAGGCGCCTGTTCATGCCAGGCGTCAGGCATGAACCCTGAGTTGGTGGGATGGGGCTGGAGCCAATGTTCTGCCATGTCATATCACAATAATATTCTGGTCCTTGATCATATCAGGGAGGCTCCTTGATTCAGAAATCATGTCACTTAAACCTCCATAGTCCAAGGACCAAAGTCCTTCTCCTGCTGTGCAAGGCCACAGAGGGTGATGGGCAATGTGGAGAGGAGGGGGAGTCGAGATCCTAGACTGCTATTGATCCTTTCTCCATGCGTTTTCCCCAGTGAACTTGGCTCCAGCACACCTGGTGCATGTGCTGTCTGCTACGTTGCCTGTGTAAAACGCAGGTCCACCCCAAATCAACAAATGTCATCTTTGCTTTGGATATCTTTTGGTGACTGATAAAGTTGAACTTCCGTTGTACCCTTCCCCAATCCTTTTCTTTCCTCATCCTTCACTTCCCAGAGGCAGCCTTCATCACAGATTTGGTGCACATCTTTCCTATAGAATGAAATCATAAGCCTTCAAAATTTTGATTCACTCGATTAAAATTAATTGGAGAAATTATAGGTCATAATGTTACCTGATAAGCTATCTTGACAGTAAATAATGGTTTCACATTAATTACTTTGAAACTTCAAATTACTATGATGATTATAATTCTTCTCTGAAAAGCTAAGGAAGAGGTGTATCAGTTAAACTCGTGCTTGGCTATGTGACATAAAACTTGATTAAGTTTTTTTGTTTAATCTCCTGGAAATATAACCCTGACCCTTTAAAATATAATTGCCCAAAGCATAAAAAACATATTTGTATTAGGAAACTGTATTTATTTACTAACATACAGAATATATTTGTTAAAAGAAAATTTTGTTAGTTATTTATTTGATGTTAGATATTTGATATTTCAATATTAGACACTGAAATACCATTTATCTAGCTATCTTTTTGCAGCTAATGTTAAGTGATAGTGTTTGGAAGTGATTGAATAACATAAGTCCCAAGGGTTGCTACCTACTAGGCATGGTACCTACTAGGCTTATTTTCTTTGAGTCTCACATTCTTTATCTGTAAAATGAGAATAATAATGTTGTTAAGCATAATAGCTATAAATGTTATAGCGAAGAACTTTTTTTCAAGCAATCTCTTGCCAGTCAAAAAAGTCTACTCACCATTTCCTTAAAATGCAATGGACCTTTCCAACTCTATATCTTTGCTCAAGCCTTCCCCTCAGTCCCAGAGAACAGTTCCACTCTCTTGTCTGCAAGGGAAAATCCTAATCCTTCAAAGCACAGTGAAATTTAATCTCCTATGTGAAACCATCTCCAAAGCAGTCTTATTTTTTCCTTTGCTTCTTCTCATTCTCATTTCAAAAGTCAATTATTTTCCTGCTCTGTGCTTCTATAGAAGTTTGTTTATTATTTTGGTCTTTATGACTCAATTATATTTCTTGAGCATATATTGTTCCTTTCTTAGAAACCATATGCCTTTTGTTTGTAGGTTTGTTCATTCAGACATCAATTCCACATTTGCTGAATGCCTACCATGTGCTAGCACTGTGCTAGATACTCGAACTTACAAAGTTTCCAAGCAGCTCAAACTAGTAAGAAAGACATGGATACACAGTATTATAATTTTTATTGATAAATTATTGTAGTACTTGATAGGTACTATAGATACATATATGTGATGAAAAGAATCAACATGCTAATGCTCACGGATTTCTCTTCTACGACTACTCCAATACACACTAACAAAGATTTTAAAACAACTCAACTCCCCTTCCCCACGGCCCCAAGTGCAGTTTGTGGACATGTTCTCAGAGCTCTTGTGGGATAGAACTGAGAGAATCACAGAGATAAGAAGGGATAGATTTAGGCTTTGAGGCTACATTTAGGATTTGAGAGATATGGACAGAAAAAGAAAAAGGATTACCATAAATTATATATTTGGATCCATTTTAATGTTTTTTGAGAGACTTGAATAAGGAATAGAATTCTCTTTTAGTTTCTTTTGGCTGTTGAGCTGTGTATCTTAAATAAGATTCAGTGTGGGCACAAACATTGTAACAGATACAGATCTGTTACAATATCTTGTACTCAAGGAATTTGTAAGAAATTTAAAATATTAAAATAATTCATATCATGAAAAAAATAAGCCATTAGGGTTGCATTTCCTCAGCACAGACTAAAATTATTATGTAAGGAGATCAATGGAGTTTGAAAAAAAATTTACTTTATGTAGTGTAATGACTTGGAAAACAGATAAGTAAAAAGAAAGACTAAAATTCATCCACGAATTTTAAGAAATAATGCTTCTAATATGTTGAATTTTTCCTCTAGGTTTTCAATCCATATTTATTCAACAAGCGTTTACTGAATAATTACTACAAGCCAGCCACTGTACTGGGCAGCAGGGATGAAGCCCAGAACAAGAGAGACAAGATCCACTGCGCACAGAAAGCTTATGTTCTAGTTGTGGGAGACAGGCAACCAACAAAATCAATCAATAAAGAATATGGTATATTCAAAGATAAGCATTATTAAGAAAAATAAGTCACGGAAGAGTATCGAATAGGGAGTGTAGGGGAGAGTAGAGGTTGCAATTTTAAATAAGATGGCCAGGGAAGACTTCACTGAGAAGGTGACATTTGAGCAAAGACTTGAAGTGGGTGGAGGAAGAAACCCTGTGGATTTTAGGTAGAAAGAATGACAAGTACAAAGTCATTTGTACTTGTGTACTTGTGTACGAGTGAGCAAGAAAGCATGCATGCATGCACGTGTTTTCTGTTTGTCTGTTTACTTATCTAACATTTTCAGTCCACGTGGTTGGGGTAGAACTCAAATCTAATCAACACACATGACTCTAATGGACACAATTCCCTCTGGTTGGGTATTTAGGTTGTTTCCTTTTTCTTTTCTTTTTTTTCCTTATCTTATCACAAATTATGCTATAATTAATTTCTCTGATTGCCTTTGTGATATTTCTGTCGGATAGAGTCCCAGAGGTGGACAGTCTTGTTTCAGATTGCCGAATTGCTTCCAAAGAAGTGATACCAATTTCTTTTATTATTATTTTTTCATTGAGGTCACATTGGTTTATAACATATAAATTTCAGGTGTACATCATTATATTTTGAATTCTATATAGATTGCATCATGTTCGCCACCAAAAGTCTAGTTGCCATCTGTCAGCATACACATGTGCCCCTTCACTGCCTTCACCCTCCCCCTCTGGTAACCACCCATCTGTTGTCTGTATCTGTTTGTTTGTTTATTTATCTCCCACATACTATACCAATTTCTACTCTAACCATCAATATAGGAGAGGACCTATTATCAAATGTTTGCCAATACTGAGTAGTGCCATAAAAAAACTTTGTTAATTTGATATATGAGAATGTATCATATTTTAATTTAATGTAATAAATTTTTGTTTCTTTAATTATTAGTGAGGTTAAATTTTAAAATATATTAACTAGCCATTTTTTGTGAAAAAACTGTTTGTGACCACTACTCACTCTCTATTGGAGTCTTAGTATTTTTTCTTACTGATTTATGCATATTTTAAATATTTTTAACACGTTTATCATATTCATGGTAATATTTACCAGATTAATCCTTAAAATGGCAATTTAAACATAAGAAACAGAAAAAATTGAAATGCTGTCTTCAAAATAATAAGCATCTACACTACTGATTTGCTTGTCAAAGTTTTACAATGAAGTTTTGATATTTGAAGATCAGAGTAAGGGAATAGGATAATGCTAAACCAGCAGAAACAAATGCCTGTTTCAGGAACACTGGAGAATATCTAACAATATTTTTATTTCTTGCAAAAAGTCTTTAAATATTTGCAGGAAGCTTCTTTAGCTATATTTAATAATTTAAGTCCCAACCATATACTAGGCACAATTTTAAGTTCTTCCATATAACATTTATGATTATTATACTCAATAACATTATTATCTTCATTTTACAGCTAAAGAACATGACGCTCAAAGAAAATAAGACTAGTAGGTACCATGCCTAGTAGGTAGCAACTCTTGGGGGTGTATGTTCTTTCCATTGCACCACTTAAGAAATTTAAGAAATGTAAATCCCTTGCATGACACAAAATTACAATTAAATAAAATCATAAAATGACATAAAATTTTGACTGTTGAGTCTTACCCGACCAGAATCCAAAGCAGTAGGCATATTTCTTAGTTCATACACAGCAACCTGTCCATCACTGTCTCCCACTAGAAGGCAATCTGTCTGTTTGGCAAAGAGAACAGTTGTGAACTTGATTCCAGGGTTGGCAACATTCACAATCAGAGGGTCCAAACTGTAATGAAATATTTTATTTGTAAATTTAGTTGTTGTTAATATGTTCTTTTTATATACAGACTACGAAAAGTCTGAGATATTTTTTGTGATTTCATGTAACAAAAAACAAAACCTTCTTTAAGTGTTTCCAAAATCAAAATAACTGCTTATCATTCCTTCTTCAATGAAAATTTTCATTTCTTCAACGAACTAATTTCAACTAGATAAATTAAAGCAATTCACAATTAAGATGTGACCTCATAAGTTTAAACTTCTGTGATGGTTAATTTTCTGTATTAACTTGGCTAGGCTATGGTGCCCAGCTAGTTAGTCAAACACCAGTCTACACATTGCTGTAAAGGTATTTTTTTTAGATGTGATTGACACTTAAATCAGTAGAATTTGAAGCAGATTACCCTCCATAATGTGGGAAGGCCTCATCCAATTTGTTGAAGGCCTTAAGAGAAAAGATTGAGTTCCCCGAAGTGGAATAGAATTCTGCCTTCAGACTACCTGCGGACCTGAGACTGAACGTGGACCCTGGCAGAAATCCCAACTTGCCAGCCTGTCTCACAGACTTGGGACTTGCCAGCCCCCACAGTCATGCGAGACAGTTCCTTAAAATAAATCTCTTTCTCTCTCTTTATTGGTTCTGTTTCTCTAGAGAACTCTGACTAGGACAACTCCTAAGTAATAAATATCTTTTAACAGAAGGATGTTTTGATAATGAACCTCTAGAACATAAAAGAATATTTTGAACAAGAACTTTTCCTACTCGTGGTCATCCAAAGCAATCCACCTATGCCCTTAAGAAACAAAAGAAACAGTGGCCGGCCCGTGGCGTAGCAGTTAAGTGCGCACGCTCTGCTGCTGGCTGCCGGGTTTGGATCCCAGGCGCCCACCAAGGCACTGCTTGTCAGGCCATGCTGTGGCGGCGTCCCATATAAAGTGGAGGGAGATGGGCACAGATGTCAGCCCAGGGCCAGTCTTCCTCAGCAAAAAAAAAAAAAAGAGGAGGATTGGCATAGATGTTAGCTCAGGGCTGATCTTCCTCACACACACACACAAGATGAATCATATGGGGCCAGCCCCGTGGCATTGTGGTTAAGAGCACGCGCTCCACTGCTTGGCAGCCCGGGGTTCAGATCCCGGGTGCGCACCGAGGCACCGCTTGTCAGGCCATGCTGTGCTGGCATCCCATAAAAAGTGGAGGAAATGGTCAAAGATGTTAGCCCAGGGCCAGCCTTCCTCAGCAAAAAGAGGAGGATTAGCATGGATGTTACCTCAGGGCTGATCTTCCTCACAAAAAAAAAAAAGAAATAAAAAAATAAAGAAACAACAGAAACAGCAACTTGCATACTTCTCTGGAAGAAATGGCCTGAGAACTACAGCTTTACCAGAAAAATTAAAATCAGAGGTGAGATCATTTAAGTAGCCACTTCATATGTTAGTCATCTCATATTCAAAAATAAATTGCTTTGTGATGTAATCCTTGATTTTTGGTTCAAACTGTTTTATAGAACAAGCCACGACAAAATTTTAAGTTACTAAATTATTAACTTCTAGGAAAAAATTTTGCCATTAAGAATAAATCCATTGAATTTTACATCATTTATTTTAAACAAAAATGTATTTCCCTGCTGCTGCTACAAATAACTAGTGTAAAGATTTACAATGTTTTCCAGTTGAAGAAGTAGAATCATTCAACACTTCATTTCAGCATTGTATAAACTTCCACATTAGAAAGGGTAGATGGGTCTAGACGTCATTCTAAGAACTTTGGTGTAATACCTTAAATCAAAAATTTTAATTAAATGCATGCTCCTTCAAATATGTTTTGAAATGAGGTAAGAGAATAAGTAAATATTGTAAAAAGTAATTATTTTGTTCCTTTATTTTATTGTAGAAAATCTTTAGTTAAGAACAATTAGCTGCCTCTCTGCACTCTTCTATAAACCAGCAATGAAAGACTTCAAGATAGTTATGATATCTTATATAAACCTGTAAAAATTTGAGAAGATGAGTGAGGTAACCTATTTTCATTCAAATATTTTTAAAACCATATATAGTATAAGTAATTAACATTAATATAGCATCCTGGCATATGAATAAAGGACTCTCACAGTGTAAATTATTACTTCTTTTAAACTAACGCAGTTGTCTCTAGCCGATGTCAAAACTATCAAGTATCATTTAGTTGGAACTGCTTCTACTAGAAATAGCGCCAAGAAAAATATTAACACTTACGTGCTGATGTGAAGGTCCCAAATCTCCACTCTGCTCTCATTTGCAGCTGCAAATATATAGGATGATTTTGGAGACCAGGCAACGTCATAAACAACATAAGTAGTTGGATAAAAACTCAAAAATGGCTTGCAAGTCTCCTGTTGCCATATAGCAACACCCCAATCTGCAGAACAGCTTAAGAATACATCATGACAAAATGGATTCCATGCTATTTTATACACTGGACCCTAGAATTGGAAAAATAAATTCAAATACTTAGGTAAATAGTATTTAACATCTTATATTATATATTTGACTAACAAATTAAAAATGCTAAGATTTCTAGAAGATTTGTGCCTCATGCATTATTGTGTGGGTATTATTTTAGCTTGGAGTAAGTTCATAAATTGAATCTTCCCTGAATTATGCCATATAGAAACATAAGAATATAGTTGCTACAATATTCACTAAATATTATACATACTATACTTATTTACTTTAAAATATATAAGGAGTATTAAGAAAAAAAACAGAAATGAGGGAGAAAATGAAGAAAACTCAGATGGAACAATCATAAAAGATATAGAGAATAGGCATATGCCAGAGACAAAGGAAGAGTGAGGCTTAGAATGGTTTAGAATGAGGAAGAAACCTTACTTTGGGGTCAGCATGTTATCATAAGTAAATTCTTTTAGAAACAAAAATTGTGATTTCCATAACGTGCAAGAAGAAATCAAGGATAACAAGAAGCCAAATAAAATGCCCCACACATTATTGGTGGGTTCCATTAAGAAGGCACTTAATTCAAGTCAATATTTTTAAGTCTGAAGTTGTAAATTTATTGCATATTAAAAATACTGTGTATAATAATATTATTTCAGAAATATTACAAGATAAAATTTCCATGCCTACTATAATTAAACAAACCTTATGTCCTCTGTAGGTATCCAGGTATTGTTCATTATATGAACAAGAACATTTGTGAATATGACCTTCTTCAGTACCAGCCAGATAGATATTTGTGTCCTACAACACAAAAAATCAAAATGCATATATTAATAAATGTGCTAAACAGAAGATCAGACCATTCAAGATCTATTAAAATCAGTTCAAGAACCAAAACTAGAAATACTATCTTGAAGATAGTTGTCTGTTGTATTTTTATGTCATGATTTTACAATAATTAAACTACCTGAAGGACTACCATGCAAAGAAAATCTAGATTTGTTCTTTGCTGGAATAGAGGGTAGAACTTAGTATCCTGTCCAGAAATTACATGGACAAACATTGGCTTAGAATGAGGAAGAAACCTTCTAGCATTTAGAGCTACCTGACAATGGAACTAGCAGTCCAGGGAAATCTGTGTTCTTTCATTAGAACTAGTCAAAGAGAAGACAGATGAGTTAATAACTATTTATGTATATAATGCTGAAGAAATGATCCTTGCTGGGAATGAGAGATTGAACTAGATGGAGTCTCAGACATATTTAACTTTAAATGTATACTAAATAGGGATTTTAAATGTATTTCCTGTGTTGAAATCATAGTCAAAAAGTCTGACGTGAGTGATCTATGTCCTGGCTATGTAGAGTCAGCATCACTTGGGAGCATCTTAGAGCTGCAGAATCTCAGGCCCGACCCCAGACCTACTGAACCACAATCTCTGTTTTAATAAGATTTCCTGGTAATTTGCATGTACATTAAAACTTGAGACACACCACTCTATTGTATATCAGAACTTAAGAACACAACTACTAGATCATGGGGTTTATGCAGTTTTAAATTACACAACAAAGTACAGTTTTTTTCACAAAGTAAAGTATTACCAATTTACATTCACTAGTATATAAAAGTACCCTTTGACCCACATTCTCTTCAACAATTGGTCCCATCAGAAATCTTAAATTTTGCTATTCTATTAGGGGTAAAATTATAACTAATGGTTTTAAGTCCCACTTATGTGAATATTAACAAGGTTGAGCACATTTTTATGTTTATTGGCCATTTGTATTTCCCCTTCTGTTCATGTCACTTGACCATTTTACTAATAATCTGTTTTGTTCATACTCATTTGTATAAGTTCTTTATATATTCTATTACATATGCTTTGTCTATTACATATGTTGCAAATATCTTCTCCCAATGTATGGCTTATCTTTTTATTTTCTTTAGTGTATTTTGGTAAAAAGGAGTTCTCATTTTAATGTAGCTGGTACTGTAATATTTTTATATAGTTAGCATTTTTTATGCTTTGTTTAAGAAATTTTTCCTACTTTGGGGTCATAGAGGTCTTCTAAAAGTTTTTTTGTATATGATGGGGTAAGGATCTAATTCAATTTTTTTATATGGATAATGATTATCTCAACACCATTTATAAGTAGGTTATCTTTCTCTAGAGATCTTCAAGGTCACTGTCTGAAGTTGGGTTCCTCAGTATACAAACTCTGAGACTCTGAGATTTCCAAGCAAGAGGTTTACTGGTGAGTTCTCTCAGGAACAACCTCTTTGAGGGAAATAAGAATGGGCAGAGATTTAAGTTGAACTATGATGAAGTTGCAACAGAGGGCTCAGTCCAACCTACAAGAAACTCTGACACTGAGGTAGCTCTTCAGAGTCCTGCTTCCAGGAAAGGAGGCCAGACATGTTACACACACCTCCACCAATAAACTAGTCAAGCAAGATGATAGATTCAAACCAAACCATAACAATAATCAAACTAAATGTAAATGGTCTAAACATCACAATTAAAAGGCAGAGACTGTACCATTGGATAAAAAAGCAAGACCTAACTATATGCTGCCTACAAGAAATGTACCTTAAATAGAAAGACACAAGTAGGTTGAATGTAAAAGGATGGAAAATGATAAACCACACTAACGCTGGTTAAAAGAAAGCTGGAGCAGCTACATTAATATCAGACTAAGTAGATTTCAGAGTAAAGAATATTACCAGTTATAAATAATGCCATTTCATCATGATAAGTGGGTTGATTAATCAAGAGAACATAATAATCCTAAACATTTATATACCCAAAACAAAGCTTCAGGATACACAAAGCAAAAACTGATTGAATTACAAGGAAAAATAGACAAATCCACAATCATGGTCAGAGACTTTAATCTCTCTCTCTCAATAAGAGATGGAAGAAATAGGCAGAAAATCAGCAAGAATATAGTAAACTTGAACAACACCATCTACCAACTTAACCTGATTGACATTCATAGAAGGGTCCACCCAGCAACAGCAGAATATAAATTTTTCTCAAATGCAAAGGGAACATTTACCAGCAAAGATCACATTCTGGTCTTTAAAATAAATCTCAATAAATTCAAAAGGATTCAGTTTATAAAAAGTTTGTTCTTTGATCATGATGGGATTGAATTAGAAGTTAATTAAAGAAAGATCCTTGGAAAAGCCCAAAATATTTAGAAACTAAATAACACCCTTCTAAATAACCCATCAATCAAAGAAAAAATCAAAGGAGAAATTAGAAAGTATTTTGAATGAATGAAAATGAAAATATAACATATAAGAGTTTGTGGGATGCTGCCAAAGAAGTATAGTCATGTGCCACATGATGTTTTGGTCAATGATGGACCACATACACAATGATGGTCCCATAAGATTAGTATCATGTAGCTTAGGCGTGTAGTAGGCTATACCATCTAGGTTTGTGTAAGCGCACTCTATATGTTTGCTCAATGATGAAATCACCTAATGATGCATTCTCAGAATGTATCCCCATCCTTAAGCAACACCTGACTATACTTGGGGGAAAGTTATAGCACAAATGCGTATATTAGAAAAGAAGGAAGGCCACAAATCAATGATCTAGGCTTCCACCTTAAGCACCTAGAAAAAGAAGAGCCAATAAAACCAAAGTAGAAGAAAGGAAATAACAAAGATCAGAGTGGAAATCAATGATACAGAAAACAGAAAAACAATAGTGAAAATCAGAGAAATCAAAAGGTGGTTCTTTGAGATAAAAAAAATTGGTAAACTTCTAGCCAGCCTAATCAGCAAAAAAGAGAGAAGACACAAATTACTAATATTAGGAATTAAAGAAATGATATCACTACATATTTTACAGCTATTAAAGGATACTAAGGGGATATTATTATGCCACTGGATTCAACAACTTAGATGAAGTAGACAAATTCCTTAAAAGACACAAATTACCAATCACACCCAAGAAGAAATAAATAATCATAATAGCCCTATATCTATTAACATTCTGAATTTTTAGTTAAAAGTTAAAAATCTTCCCAAAGGAAACTCTAGGCCCAGATGGTTTATTAATTCTATCAAAGATGCAATGAAGAAATAATACTAATTGTATGCAAATTCTTTTAAAAAAGTAAAAAAGAGGAAATATTTTTCAACTCATTCTATGAGACCAGGAGTACTTTGATACCAAAAGCAGATAAAGACATTACAAGAAAAGAAAACTCTAGACCAATATCTCTTACAAACATGCAAAGATTATAAACAAAATTTTAGTGTACCAAATCCAACAGTATATTAAAAGGGCAAATCATGATAAAGTGGAGTTTATCCCAGGAACAAACATTAAAAAACCAATCAATGTAATTCATTATATTAACAAACTTAAAGAGAAAAACTATGTAATCTTCTCAATAGATGTAGAAAAAGCATTTGATAAAAACTCAACATCCATTCCTGATAAAAACTCTCAACAAGTAGTAATGTAATGGGACCACTTCAACCTAATTAATTGCATCTACAAAAAACCTCAGCTTACATCATACTTAATAGTAAAAGACTGACTGCTTTCTTCCTAAGATCAGGAACAAGACAGGGATATCTATCTTCACCACTTCTATTCATTGTGCTGGAGGTTCTAGCCAGTGCAATTAGGCAAGAAAAAGAAATAAAATTAGAGAGGGAGAAGTAAAACTCTTTACTTACAGATTACATGATCATCTCAAATTCCTTATGCCAAGGACATTTCTAGGATACCAGACTAGGGTTTCTCAATCCCACACTATTGATATTTTGGGCCAGCTAATTCTTTGGGGGAAGAGGGACGGAGGTGGCTGTCTTGTGCATTGTAGGATGTTTAGCAGCATCCCTGGTCTCTGCCCACTAGATGCCAATAGCACTCCTTCCCATGTCCCACCTCCTACAGCTGCAACAACCAAAAATATCTTAAGACATTGTGAAACGTCCCCTAGTGAGAAAAGAACCCCCTGCCCACTCACATTGAGAACTACTGTTCTGAAGTCAAGGTGAAAAGTGCATTACAGGAATTTGAGAATGAAGGCAGTTAGAGCATGACTGCAGTGGTAACAGTGAAACATAACAAAGGCGTGAACTACATTAGCAGGAGTAAGTTCCGACTGGGAGAGTGGGACAGTAAGACCTAAATATCATTTGGGTGATAGGGGAGAACAGAGCAGGAGCTCAAGTTCTGGTTTGCGTAATTAGGTGGATGATGGTATCACTAAAGAGATGACCTATTACATATTATATTTAATATATTATAAATACATATTATATATAACAGAAAACATGGAAGATATATTTTCTTAGAAGTCTCCACGGTGGCTGAATTTTCTGATTCCAAAGAATCTCCAGATAAAAAGAATTAGAAAAAGTAGAACTTCGTTAACTGTGCTTTGATTTGACTCGGGTCTCATGAAGCATGAACTTAAGCGGTCTTCCTGATCCCAGAATCATGAGAGTCAAGCCTCACACTGACATACAGAGGACTGGATAGTCGGTTTGGTTTCTACCTGCATGATAGCACAGCAGAGCACCCAGGAGGGACAAGGAGGGGCACTCAAGTTAAGCATGCAGTTGTAAAGACAATCTTTCCACGGTTCCTCAGATATATAGACCTTTCCTCTAAAAAGCAGATAAAGACACAGTATACAACTTGAATGTGTCATTCCACCTTAGGTTGGCAGCTATATCTATGTTGTTTTTTTCTTTACTTACAAGGCACAATATTTATTAACATGCTAACTTTTTGTTTTGCTTTATATCTTAAAATACTTCAATTATTGAAAGTTGTTATATGCAATAGTAAATAATGGACTGAAATAATTTACCGTGGGGTGAAAAGCAAAACACATTCCAGGAGCCTGTCGAGATATCAAAGCTTCACCTTTCTTTTCTTTTTCTGCTCCTTTCTTGCGGCTGCTAGCCGTAGTTCGCCTCAAACGCATCAAATCTTTATTTAAAGAAAACACATAATTCTTATTTACCACATGAAAAAGAGTTGTAGATATAATGTGTGTCCTTTCTGCAAACAATATTATGATTTCTGCCATCTTTTGCACGTGATTCAGTTAAAATTAGCAAGTGCCGGAACTAGATGCTTAGAGAAACAATGACTGAGCCCAGCTTTTTTTCTTATTTAGCCAAACCAAAATCTGTCACCTCTTACACATGGTTCACCAGGAATTTTTAATTCAGCACATAACAAGAGAAAGATAATTTGGTATATATATATTTATATATATATATATATAAATATTTTTTTACCATGACAGTCCAGTCCTTTCCGTATAACCCATTTGGAAATTCTTCCATCCGCTGATATAGAAACTAGTATTTCTCTTTTGTCATCACCTGTTGTTCCTCGATCTTGCTCTATCCACTGTAGTTGCCACACAGGTCCCAAATGTTTCTGAGGTGATTCACTAAAAGAGGGAAAAGTACCAAATGTAAAATCATTACAATAATGTTTTAACAGACTTGTAGTATAAGCGACAAGGATGGCATCCTAGAGCACCATGACCTACTTATCGAATGATGCTTTTATTGTTCAAAACTGGACTTTTCTTTAAATATATTGAAAAATAAGAAAAATAATCACTTTGCCACCTAATATTCCCTGCTGTTTTTCTCATTTCTAATAAAGGGAGAATTTTCCTGCCTTTAATTATATTAGCTGTCATATCAGGAATACAAAAGCAAATTTTTTATTTCCTTTCTTTTCAGAACCTACATCTCTTATTCTATTCACTTACTTTTTCCTAGTTTTGTGTAAATTTAGTTTATTTAGACACATTGAGTATAAGTAGCTTCATCTCTATAAGGATGTTTTTTCTTAGCTTCAATGAATATGTTAAGTCTTACTCAAGTAAACAATTACCTCACCCTTTCTCCTACGATTCAGGATTGCCCACTGGCTTGATTCTCTTTATGGCTGAGATTTAATTTTTTCTGAAGAATTAAATCTCCTCTCGGATGACTGACATTTCCTATCAGATTAACGGGTTGCTCTGTCCTGGTACTGACTCCCTTGACTATTTTATGCAAACCTCCAAGGCAATAGTTCTGTATCTCTTTAAAGTCATAGATATTTTTGATTATTTGGTAAAAGTTATGGACCTTCTTCCTGGAAACAAGCACAAAGGCCCGTGCTTACAAAACTATGCAAATAATTTCAAAGTTAAGCTTAATGAACCCCTGCTTCAATGCCTATTTCCAGTTCTAGCTAAGTTGATTCAAACAGTAATATAAATATACCACCTCATTTTCCTCCAATGGTAACTGGTCTATTACAAAAACCTAACATATTCAGTATCTTTCACCTTCAACTTTTTTATTTTCTCAGTATGACTCACTCATTCATTCATTCTTAATCAAACACTTACTGTAATTCTGTTACATGCCTGATATTATGTAACATACTCAAGATACAAAGGTAAGTAAGACTTAACCCTTGCCCTCAAGGAGTTTACAGCCTCCTCAGGAAGACATATACATAAATAAATTATATACAGCGTGATAAGTACTATGATAAAGGTTTGTACAGGATGAACAAAAGAAAGGAATGGGAAGGTTTCTTGGAGGAGGTGACACCAAAGCAATAAAGGGTGAAAACTTTAAGTTATAAGATGAATAAGTTTTGGAGATCTAATGTACAGCATTGTGATCATAGTTAATACTACTGTATTGTATACTCGAAATTTGCTGAGAGTAGATCTTAAGTACTCTCACTAACAAAAAATAAAGGGTAACTATGTGAGGTGATGGGTGTGTTAATTGATTTGATTGTGGTAATTATTTCACAATGTATACATATATTAAATCACCACATTGTATATCTTTAAAAAACAACATTGTACAACCTAAATATATACAATTTTTATTCATCAATTATATCTCAATAAAGCTGAAAAAAATTAAATTTTTTTTAAAAATAATAAGCATAAACTGTTAAGCCAAAGGAAGTTTGTTGGTGAGGTGTGTAGAGATGAAGGAAATGTTAGGACAGAGCATTCCAGTTGGAGAGACAATATGAGGAATTATTAAATGTTTGAAAAATAATAGTATCACTCAATAATAACATAAATATTCACTCAAATCTAAATAACATTAGAGTAAATTTTTACTTCTCCCTAAAAAAGCACATACTATATGTTGATCTGATTCTTGGATTCTCACCTACTATCCAGAACTGGAACATTACTGTTGCTTTGCACGTTATAAATTGCAATGGTGCCATTGTGATAGCCAACTGCTAAAAGGTTGGGTGCTTCGATTGAAAAATCCAGAGCAGTAACTCCATATGGACTCTGATAAATACGTTCTGGCCACTGAACAAAAATATAATTAAGTTACATTTTAAACTTGGTTTTGTAGACCACAGTAAGGTAGGGTATGATGGTGGCTGAAGACTATCTGGTGGCAGTAGGGACGTGAGAAGAATTCATCTACATTCGGCTACTCTTCTCTTCCTAACTTCCGGTATAGAGGAGAACAAAACTTCAGTTAGTCATTTCCTTTACTTTGATGAACCCTCAGAGCTCAATAATTTTAAGAAATACAGTGTGTTTCTACAGTAATTATCATATTTTGATAATCTTTCAGCAGGATTCGTATGATCATCACAAGTCTACCTTCTTAAACAAACAAATACTGGGCTCCCAATAAATTATCTAGCATTTGTTCCTGTCTCCCAGTATCTGTTTCAGATGCTTGGATTCTCTGACCCTTTCTAAACAATGGATGCTTGAAGAAGCTCCAAAACTCCCTAGGTGCTCTTCTCTACAGCTCTGTCAAGAATTTCATTGTTTTGCTTTGTTTTATTTTAATGTCTAACCTAAATCTTTTCTTGTTTCTAACAACCTATGTGGAAAAGAAGACAAGCCACTGTTGATGGATCCTATATCAATCCTTCCACATGTTTAAAATTGCTTCTTGCTTTCTGTTACGCTGTATAAACCCAGCTTCCTACAGACTGAGGCTATTTATAAAAACTAATCATTTTTACACTCTCTTCTCACTCTTTTCTAAGTTTTCCACTTCACATTTCAGTTGTGAATTGAAACTAAACGTAAGCTATAAAGTAGCAGATTGATTAGGGCTGTTTAGCAAAAAACATGACTGATTCTTACTCATTCTCTCTGAAAAACTCATGGCAGTAAGATGGTCATATTAATCTATTTTATATCTATTGAAGATAGCAGAAATCTATCTTATAAGGTGATAAGGAATTATTCATATATTAAGAAACAATCCAGTATTAAATGAAACGTAATTTTCAAAGGATTTTCATTTGCGAATTCATTCTTCTTTATAATTAGTAGTGATAACAATAATGGTTCAGCTTTGGATAATCAGATCTAACCACACATATTAGATGCTCAATAAATATTTATTGAATGAATTTGTAAATGAATTTACTTTATCCTATATCAACAAGAACAAATTTTAATTATTACGAATTTAAACCAAAGAAAATAAAGATTTGCTTGATGAAATTTTCTTGACTTTGTTAAATTATCACGTACAACTATGTACTTTATGATAATTATATCAATGTTTAATTAAATAAAAATGGGTCTTATTCCTGTTTGGGTTACCGTAGGATTCTTTATTGACCAGCAGCAAGCCAATCCTCTTTTTTGCTCTTTAAATCCAAAGTGCCCATAGCCAACAGCCAAAAGGTCCTAAAAACCAGAAAAATACATTGAAAACAAGAAAGGATGGCACAAAAATATTGGCAAATGTATAAAGATGCGTATTAAAGAATTGTTTTAAAAATAGTGATGACATTTCAATTGAGATAAAAAAATACCATTGTAGCATCTATTTTTACTCTACACCTCCATCTTCCTAAGAAAAATAATAATAATCACATTTTCAGACTGAAGAATAAGTACCTAAAAAGAACCGATTCCTAACAAGTTCTTTTACATAATGAGATCATCTTCCAAGATTGTATTATTACATTATAATGTCTTATGGGGTTTTGAAAATGACCTAATCATTTCAAATGTAAAGTAAATGACATTTATGCCTCCTCCCACAAAATTCATATCTTGAAGTTCTAATCCCCAATGAGATTATATTGGAGGATAGAGCTTTTAGGAGGTAATTAAGGTTAAATGAAGTCATAAGGGTGCGGTCCTAATCCAATAGGATTGGTGGCCTTATAAAAAAAGGAAGACACCAGAGCTCTCTGTTTCTACCATGTGAGGACACAGCAAGAAGGCAACCATTTGCAAGCCATAAAAAGATCCTTCACCAGGAACCAAAACAGCTGGCACCTTGATCCCAGACTTCCCAGCCTCCAGAATTGTGAGAAAATATATTTCTGTTGTTTAAGACACCTAGTCTAGGGGGCTGGCCCGGTGGCATAGCGGTTAAGTTCACACGCTCTGCTTTGGTGGCCCAGGGTTCACAGGTTCGGATCCCAGGCGTGGACCTATGCACCGCTCATCAAGCCATGTGTGGCAGCTTCCCACATACAAAATAGAGGAAGATGGGCACAGAAGTCAGCTCAGGGCCAATCTTCCTCAGCAAAAAGAGGAAGATTGGCTACAGATGTTAGCTCAGAGCCAATCTTCCTCACACACACACACAAATGAGACACCTAGTCTATGGTATTTTGTTATGGCAGCCCGAGCTGATTAATACAGCAGGTCATTGCAAGAAATGCTTATGTAAGTACATACAGACAAAGTTTAATGATTGACCAAATCCAGCCTCTTCTCTGTAATCAGAATACCTTTATCAAAAATATATTGCTATATTTTCTGGCCACCAGCCTACTTTCAAGCCAGCATCATCTCTCCACAATTCTCTCTGCCTTAAAACATTCTTTACCACTACCCTTTTTACCCTGACATGACAACCTCCTGTTTATCTCGTCTAGATTCATCATAGGCGCCCCTTCCTCTAAGAAGCATTCACTAGCTTCTCTTATGTGCTCCCACAGCACTATTTATTTTCCTTATGAAAGTACACAGGGAGGTATTATGTCGGGAGGTCTATATCTGACTACATTACTGCTGTATCTCTTAGTGCCTTCAAGTTCCTGGCACACAGTGAATGTTCAATAAATATTTGTAGAATAAATAAATAAATATGATAGATGCCTTCTGTCATTTTTTTAGCTTCATTCAAAATTATTTAATTTTAATGCCAATAGCAATACATTAATTTTTAAAATGCTAGTACATTCAGTTTCTAAAAATGACTCATCTGTCTTTATTACAGTTATTATTGATTTATTAAATCTCACTTATCTACAAGATCTTCCCAAATATAGTTTTATAAAGACAAATCCATAATAAAGCTGTTTTATTTTATTAAAAAATAATATAAATAATTTAAATAATGTATATTTAGGCTTCAACAAAAATTATTATAGACTTTATGTTTTTTAATAACCATATATATATATATAATAACCATGTCGTGTTTGCACAAAGGATCCTGTAGGGTATGGCAATAAAATAATAAGGCTAATTCTTAAACATACATAACAAAATACAGTTTAAACAAATTAGTTTTGATCACTTTAAAACTACACTAAATATTTATTCCAAAGATACTGCTATTACACAAACGTCTTTTGGAATCACTAGTTGAGAATCATGTCTTCAGAACCAATTTATAAACCCCAGGAGAAAATAAGTCTCATTACTCTATAATTATCTCTTTTTTACAAGCAAACATACCATCATTCAGCTTGACAATTCATCTAATTTGTCTCAAGACGATTTTCCACAGTGCAGTAGTCAGGAGCCAGTTTTCTGGGTTTGAGTTCTAGCTGTTTCACTTACTAGTTGCATACTTTGGGCAAGTTATTTATCCTTTCTGTGCTTCAGTTTCCTCATCAATATAATGGGGAAAATAGTGTCTAACTCATAGAGTTGTTGTGTTAATACGGTAAGATCCTTACAATAGTGCCTGGTACATAGCAAGTGCTATTTAAGTATTTGCTATTATTAGTAAGAGTAAGGAATCTCAAAATTATTTTGCACATTTGCAGGGTCACTGGATTAAGTCTATACTTCCAAATATGATTAGTTTAAGAATACAAATTTGGGTACATGAGTCTGGTATATGCTAAAATAAATCTATTACATATTATCTTCTAGTTCACTTCTCAATACCTCATATAGATTGAGAGAAGGCCATGTCCCAATGCTGTCTCCCAAAATAAAAATGGTGATGTTTTTATACGAAAGGAGAAAAACATTATTTTGTAACTATTTGCATTTCCCCTCTTGTCAAACATGAACTTGTTTTAGAGGCATTTTCAAACAAGGGGTTATATCCATTTAAATCCCTTGCCTAATATCTGAGAAAAAAAATTCTTCATTAATAATTGATAATTGATAATTGCCCTTAGATGCTAGAGATGGAATTGTTAAGATGTTTGATAACTCACTGAATTTGTTTTGTTCCAGGCAAGGCTGCTCACATTAAGGCCTTTGGTTAAGTCACAGGAGAAGGACCAAAGTCGTTCCAAATTGGCTGGTATTGTTGACTGTTCTGCATCTATTTCTATTTCTTCTTCCTCTTCCTTCTTAACTTCTTCCTCTACATCTTCAAGTTTTTCACCTTCTAAAAATTCTTCAGGCTCTTCAGGTTCTGGTTCTAAAATTAAATTAAATTAAAAGATTATTTTCCTCTATACCTACAGGGGCCTGCCAAAGTCTGCAAACAGCATCTCTACCTACCACTGACACTTAGAGCACCATTGGATCTGCTGGGTCATATGGCCCAAGTGACAGGGCACCTTGAATAGCCTCCTGGACCTGTTGTAGAATCTTCTGTTGTTCTGGGACTCACTCAAAGCTAGCAACTTTTCAGGTCACTCAGTAAATGGGCCAGAGTAGCACATCCAGTTGACAACTATGTTCCCTCCAAAACACAAAGAGGTCCACTAGGCATTGTGCCTGTTTTTTTACTGTAAGAGGAGCCAGATGCAACAACTTATCCTTCACCTTAGAAGGTATATCTTGACATACCCTACATCACTAGACCCTTGGAAATTTCACTGAGGGGAAAGCTCCCTGAAATTTCATCAGATTTATTTCTCACCCTCTGTCATGCAAATGTCTTACCAATAATTCTATTTCTTTTTCACTAGGTCTAATCAGCATAATGTCATCAATGTAATGGACCAGTGTGATGTCTTGTTGAAGGGAAAGGTCCCTACAGACTAAACTATGACATAAAGCTGAAAAGTTGATATACTCCTGCAGTAGGACAGCAAAGGTGTATCGCCGGCCTGGCCAGCCGAAACCAAATGGCTTCTGGTGGTTTTTACCAACAGGCATTGAGAAAAAAGCATTTGCTGTTCAATAGGTACACACCAGGTACCAGGGGATGGGTTAATTTGCTCAGGCAATGAAACCTCATCTGGAACAGCAGCTACAATTGGAGTCACCATCTGGCTAAGTTTACAATAATCCACTGTTATTCTCCAAGATCTATGTGTTTTCTATGCAAGCCAAATAGGTGAGTTGAATGGGGGATGTGGTGGGAATCAACACTCCTGCATCTTTCAAGTTCTTGACAGTAACATTAATCTCTGAAATCCCTCCAGAAATGTGGTATTGCTTTGGTTTACTATTTTGATAGGCAGAGGCAGCTCTAGTGGCTTCCACTTAGCCATTTCCTATCATAATAGCCCTCACTCCATAAGTCAAGGATCAAATGTAGGGATTCTGCCAGTTGCTAAATATTTTTACTCCAAGTATACATTCTGGAATGAGGGAAATAACCACAGGATGGGTTCAGTAACCCACAGGACCCACTGTGAGATGGCCCTTGGCTAAAATTCCATTGACCACCTGATTTCTTAATATTACGTCCTTACTCTGACTAGTGGACCACAGTGATGTTTTGGGTCTCCTGGAGTTAGTGTCAGTTCAGAGCCAGTGTCCGGTAATCACTGAAATTTCTGATTATTTCCTTTTCCTCAATGCACGGTCACCCCAGTAAAAGGCTATAGGTCCCTTTGGGGAAGGCTGGGAGAAATATTAACAGTATACATTTTTGGCACTGTAGTGGGATACCTTCTTAAAGAGAATCCAGCCTCCCCTTCATTCAAGGCGTTCTGGGTCTATAAACTGGCTCAAGTCTAGGAATTGGTTGAGGGGCTATGACTTTGTTTTGGAGTTTCAAGTTAGACTTCTGTTCACTTGACCTAGAACTCTTCTGCTTATACAGATCAAGTAAGAACTGAGGAGGAGACTCTCTGTTATGGATTGAATTATGTCTCACAAAATTCATGTATTGAAGCCCTAACTTCTAGTACCACAGAAAGTAATGGTATTTGGAGACAAGGGCTTTAAAGAGGTAATTAAGTTAAAATAAGGCCGTTAGTGTGGGTCTTAATCTAATATGACTGGTATCCTTATAAGAAAAGGAAATTTAGACACACTGAGAGACACAAGGGATACACACGCACAGAGAAAAGACCATGTAAAGAGGCAGCAAGAGGGTGGCCATCTGCAAGCCAAGGAGAGAGGGCTCAGAGGAAACCAACCCTGCTGGTGCCTTGATCTTGGATTCCTGCCTCCAAAACTGTGAGAAAGTAAATTTCTCTTGTTTAAGTCACCCAGTTTGTGGTATTGTGTTATGGCAGCCCTAGCAAACTAATACAACACCTACCTATTTCTCTTCTAGGGACATCGTGATGAACTAGCCCATGCCATGGGTCTCTGCGAGTCAGACTATTCTGAATACTGCTTTGTCCATTATGGTAACCATGCCTACCTTTTCTTTGGTGATTAAGTGCTGCCACTTAGCCCCTGTCACCCCAGGATCCAATTATCTTTATTGTATTTAAGGATCCCAGTTGAGTGGCAGCGGTTCCCACTGTTAATTTCTGACCTACAGAGAAGAGTAACCACAGAGCTCTTCAAGGATGTTGGGGCTCCCCTCACAAATTTATTTCTCATGATTGTGGTGAAAGGTGTATTATCTGGACCCTCTTGGACTGGGTGAGCAGGTCATCATGATAAATCCACTCTAACATTCCAACATCCCTAAGCCTCTGGATACCTGCCAAGGCAGTTCTGACATTTCCACCTCGGTTAGGGAAGGCCACATTTTGGTCCATTATCAGCCAACCAAAAAAACAAACTGTTAGAGCCATTTCTAATCCTTTGAGCACTGGGATCCAGTATCTCTGCTTAGTGGACCCATATCAATAAACTTGGTGTGATCTGACTTTATATTCCTTCCATCATTATCCTACACTCTTAATATCCATTCCCACATATAGTCCCCCAGATTTCTGCCTGTGTAAATTGGAAAAATCAGCAGTCAATTCTCAAGAAGTCGTAACAACCCCAAATGCGTAAGTACCTAACAACTTCAAAATACATGAAACAAAAACCAATATCTCTGAAAGGAGAAATAACAAATACAAAATTATAGTTGGAGATTTCAACAGTTCCCTCTCAATAACTGATAGAACAAGTATAGGCAGAAAATCAGTAACGATACAGAGGAGTTGAACATCATTATCAACCAACTTGACCTATTTGACATTTATAGAACACTACATCCAAAAACACCAGAATCCATATTCTTATCAAGTGCCATAGCACATTCTCTAAGATAGACCAATTATGAACCATCAAATAATCTTAACAAATCTAAAAGAATAGAAATCATACAAAGTATACTCTCAGATCACAATAGATAATAAATTAAAAATTGGTAACAGAAAGATAGCTATAAAATCCCAAAATTTGGATATTAAACAACACATAAATAACACATGAGTCAATGAAGTTTCAAAAGAATTTTTAAAATATTTTTAATGAAATGAAAATATAACATCAAATTTTATGAGATTCAGCTATAGCAGTGCTTAGAAGGCATATATTGGATCTGACATCTGATCTACCCATTCCACTCCTAGGTACTGACCCAAGAGAAATGAAAGCAAATGTCCATATAAAGACTTGTGCATGAATGTTCATGCCAACTTTATTTGTAATGGCTCCAAACTAGAAACAATGATCAATCAACAGGTGAAAGAATAAACACAGTGTAGAATATTCATACAATGGAATATTAGTCAGTAATAAAAGGAATGGACTACTGACACATCCAACAGCATGAGTGAGTCTGAAAATAATTTTGCTGAGTGAAAAGAAGCCAGGTAACAAAGAGAGTATAAGCTATGATTACATTTATATAAAATTTCAAAAATACAGACTAATCTATATAGGGATAGAAAGCAAATCAGTGGTTTCTTAAGGATGGGGGAGAGGCAAGGAGGAATGGGAAGGAAGGATTATAAAAGACATGAAGAAACACTTGAGGGTGACAAATACATTCATTATCACTATATATATAGTATATATGCATTAATTGTGGTGATATATCAAAGCTTATTAACTTGCATACTTTAAATATGTGCAGTTTATTGTATGTCCCTTATACCTCAATAAAGCTATTAAAAAGTAACAGTGATATATCACTCTTTAAATGAATCCAAGATAATATAAATACTACAGCATTTTTTAATTGTGAGAAAATTTACATTCATTGATATGCATAGATTTTAGCTATACAGTTTGATGAGTTTTGATAAATGTACACATCAATGTAACCGACACCTCAAGCAAGATAGAGAACAAACCCACCCACCGAAAAAGTTTCCTCATGCTGCTTTTCCAGTCAAACCCAACCCACCATAGGCAGGCACTGGTTTGATTTCTATCACCGCAGATTAGTTGTGTCTGTGATAGTATATCATATAAATGGGATCATGGGTATGTATTCTTTTGTGTCTGGCTTCTTTCACTCAACAATGTTTTTGAGGTCCATCAAGGTTATTGTATATATAAGTCTTTGGTTCATTTTTCTTGCTGAGTAGTGCTCCATCATTTGTCTGTACATTGACATATTGATGGACACCTGGGCTATTTCCAGCTTTGGGCTATTATGAATAAAGGCTTCTGTGAGCATTCTTCTACAAGTCTTTTTTGTGGACATATGTTTTCTTTCTCTTGAGTAAATATCCACAAACAGGATTATTGGGTCATTGAATGGATCTATGTTTAACATTTTGAGAAACTTTCCAGCAGACTTCCAACATAGTTGTACAATTTTATACTCCCACGGCAATGTATGAAAGGCCCAGTTTCTCCATGTTCTCGCTAACACTTGGTATTGTCAGTCTTTTTAATTTTAGCTATTTCAGCTAGTCTATAGTGGCATTTTGTCATGGTTTTAACTTGTATTTCCTTGATGACTAATTATGTTTAGTATCTTTTTAGGTGTCTATTGGCCACTCATATATTTTTGGTGAAGTTTCTTTTCAAACCTTTTGTCTATTTTTTATCATACTGTTTATCTTCTTTTTGCTGGGCTATAAGCGTCCTTTACATATTCCAAATTTAAGTCTTTGGTCAGATATATATATTGCAAACATATTCTTCTAGTCTGTTGCTTGCATTTGTTTTCCCTTAGCAGTGTTATTCAAAGAGCAGACATTTTAACTATCACAAAAGTTTTATCAATTTTTTTCTTTTATGTCTTGGGACTTTTGTATATTAAGTAATCTTTTCTTATGCTAAGATCACAAACATTTTCTCTTTTATCTTCTTCTAGAACTTTATAGTTTT